GACAATCGTTAATTTAAATAAATTTCTTAAAAACAAAAATTTTGGTGGCAAATTGTGTGAACATTTTTTTTCATAATTTACTTGAGTGCTACAATTTAAGGAGGCAATTTTGCACATTTGACCATTAAAATATATAAATAATTAAAGAAAGATTTTTGTATTGTATGCTACTATTTTGTTGTATAGTAGTTGAAAATTGATTTGTTTGTTAATTTTTAGAGATGTGAGGATCATACATCTTTAGTATCTAAAATTTTGTTACCATCTATTATTTTTTGTAGCAAGATTGTAATTTTGTTTCACTAATGGCCACGTCATCACATTGCATCATCACCCATGTCATCACTGGATAGAATTTGTGAGAGATAACGAAGAGTGATGAATGGCAGCATGTTCAAAGAAAGGTTAGTGATTAATTTTTCAAATTTAGGAGGATGATGATTAAATAGAAAGTTATGATAAAGGTGAATGATTATTTGTGTAGTTTATTTTTTACTTAATTATCTAGGGATTGTATTCGCCACAAAAAATGATTTTGGATATTTATTTCCCATTACTTAATTGGGTAGAGATTTTATTTGCCTTTAAACCATTTAACTAATTATGGTATAAGCTATTAAGTATATTAAAAATGAAAACTATAATATTTTCTACTCCGTACCAAAAACTGGCACTACAACGGCCGGGTAAAGTAACGGGCTCTCGAGGGTAGAGCACCGCTCCGGTATGGAGAACCGCCACGAACTCCGTTAAGTTTTCTCTTCGATTTTCCAGTTTTCTTGGCCCTACCTTGATTGCAGGGACAATGACAGGAGTTTTAAAGCCGCTGGAGCCTTAGGAATCGAGGCAGGTATATCGTACTTAAGGAAAGTGAGGGCTAAAGCATCTGTGACATATGGGGTTCAAAGCAATGAGAATAGGCTTACCCACCCTTATTCTCTTCTTTCTTTTGTAATCTTTGATTTTTGAACATCCCAAAAACTCTAAAATCATCAATTTATTCTTGCCTGTTAGTTTGTATAATGGTAAGTTGAGAGAAACAAGCAAGGACTAGTCTAATTTTGCGACACGAACAAAATCTATTCTGAAATTCAAATGATTGTTTTTTCTTATTTAGTGGAGTACGATAGATGGGTGTAAGATCCCTTGGATTAGCAGGGAGATATAGTTTGCATGGGCACTCTAAGGAGGGACAGAAAAATTTTGTACTTTTGTATGGAAGTGTCAAAAAAATGGCAGTGGATGGATTTGTAGCTGGTTTAATGTGCTTTGGAGCGAATGGAGATGTAGACATAATTGGATTTATAAAGGAGAAATGCTTTGGGGTTGACTCTGTTCTGAATTACATAAATTTGAAATGCAAGTTTCCAAACACTAACACAACCTTATGATATAGAATACATTGCACTAAACAATAGAGAATCAAGAAATCAGTTCCGAAGCACATCCAAGTCGAATTGAAGGATTAACATAGAAAAGGAAAAAAAAAAAAAAAGAAAAAGGAAAACTTTCGGTTTCATGAGGGTCGCTGAGCTGATCTGGTAGTCAAAAATCGTATTCTATCCCTTCTGCTGTGCGCCATTCCTTTGGACGAGTTAATCCCAAGAGATTCATCAATATCCAAACGAAAGTGAGAAGTTGTCCCGCTCTGCTTACTTGCCTTGCATGCACAATTGGTTTGCAATTAATAGCAGCATAGCATACTATTTCTACCCATACTTTGCTGATTAACTCCCATGGAGTGGGATGCTTGAGCAATTCTCTGGATAGATAACATGCAGCAGTTACCCTAGAAAACTCATCCATTAAGGCTTCCTTCTGTTCAGCGCTCATTAGTTTGTCCATCTCTCCAAAGACTAACTTGTCCATATCTGGATTTATTTTTCTCATTAACATTTCCACATCCATTTTTTCTTTGTCCAATAGCTTGTCCAGACTTACAACGGATGTTTCTGTGAATCCCTTTTCATCTGGCCACTTCCATTGCGTCGAAACGCTGGAATGTACTCCCTGAATGACTTTCAAGATGTCATCATGTGATGAACCGGGAA